ATGCTAACGGAGAAAACTTCAAGGCACTCCCACTGTAATCAGGAACAAGATGAGGGGGCTCATTCCTCTACGCCTGTCCAGGGTAAAACCTGGCGTCCTCTCTAGAGAAATGAGAGGAGGAAACAGATACAAATAAGAAAACAAGAACTCAAAGCATCTGAGTCAAACTGTCCTTATTTGGAGATGTTATGATCCTATACATAAGAGGTTCTAACCAAGACCCTGTGGCTAAATAGGTCCTGGACTCGAGGGGGGGAACTCACTGCTATTATCCTACTAAATGGACATAATATTAAACCAACTCCTAATGTACTACTGTTGTGCTCTTAGATTAGTACATTTCTTAACCCTCAGCAAAGAAGTTCCTTTTTGCAGCAGATGGTGATCAACACAGAGACCCACAACTGGTAAAGATGTGGAGCACTCAGTCCTAAACCGGACAGCGATTGTTTTTCTTGATACCTACTTTTTCTGAGTCCTTTGTATATTCTAGATGTTAACCCCCTGTCAGACACACAGCTGACAGGGTTCTTTCCCATTCTGTACACCGCCTCTTCAGTTGACTGATGGTATCTTTTGTGGTACAGAGATTTTAAGTTCATGAAGTTTCATTTGTCAGTTGTTAAGAGTTAGTCCCTGAGCTACCAGCGTCCTCCTCAGACCGTCCTTACCTACACCTACATCTTGACGTGTGCTTCCTCCTTTTTCCTCTAAGTTTCAGATGTTACATTGAGATCTTCAGTCCATTTGGAGTTGAAGAGATTTTAAGTTCATGAAGTTTCATTTGTCAGTTGTTAAGAGTTAGTCCCTGAGCTACCAGCGTCCTCCTCAGACCGTCCTTACCTACACCTACATCTTGACGTGTGCTTCCTCCTTTTTCCTCTAAGTTTCAGATGTTACATTGAGATCTTCAGTCCATTTGGAGTTGACTTTTGTGTGGGGCGGGAGGTGAGGACCTAGTTCCATTCGTCCACACATAGTTGTCCAGTTTTCTCGACACAATGTCTTTTCTTTACTTTGTTTTTGTGGCCTCTTTATCAAAAATGCAGTACAGTTACACTGAGTTATATTTGGGTCGTCTGTTCTGGTCCATTCATCTCTGACTGTTTAGTTCCAGAATCTTTCTGTTTTTATTACTATGACTTTGTTGCATACCTTGAAGTTGATCATTCCAAGCTTCCATAATTATTCTGTTTGCTCAGGATTGCTTGGGCTCGGGGTCTTTTGTGTTTCCACATGAAGTTTAAGATTGTTATTTTTATTTATGTCATAAATGGAGTTGAAATTTGATCGGTGTCGCACTGACTCTATAGACTGATTTTGGTAGGATAGTCACTTTTCACAACATGAGTTTTTCTGATCCATATTCTGGGAGGTTCCCGTCGTTTGCTGCCTTCCTCTGTGTCTGTCTTCAGTTAGTTTTAAAGTTTTCATTGTACAGGTCTTTCGCCCCCTTAGTAAGGATTATTCCAATAATGTTTTAGGCTATTGTGATTAAGATTGTTTCCCTGATTTCCTTTTTTAAAGTTTAAGAGAAATTTTATTGATTCAAGAATTTCATACAATGAATTTTGACTATATTCAGACCTCCTCTCCCATCTCCGCCTTCACCGTACCACCACCCAACCCTCCAACCCCGACTTTGTGTCTTCTATCTGCAAACGAAAAACCGAAATCATCTTACAGAACACATCTGAACTGGGTGCTGGAGAAACCATACCCCATTAGTGTCAGTGATCTATATTCCTTACACACGTGCCAAGCCACTCCCTTTCCTTTGTACATGGTTTAGGTTTCTTAAAATGGGATTTTCACTCTTAATTTCTGTTTCTCTTGCACACTTAGGAATGTCAAGTAGGGATTCCTCTTTTCTCAGTGGTTGAAAACACTTGGTTTTCTTCATCAAGTTGATCTCAGCCCTCGCATGCAGGTTACACTTAGGCTGTTTCTGGGCCTCACTGTGAACCAAGGTGTTCCCCACCGGGTTGATTCCCGCAGGATTCTGCTGTGGGTAAAAGAAGCTAGGTCCTCACAGTAGGCAGCGTTAGCTCACAGGCCTCCAGTCTAAGGTTCTCTGAGTGGCAGTTGGGAGATTTCACGGCTTCACAAGACAGCTTTACACCTGTGTCCTCTGTAGACTTCTCCGATTCCTAATGCTACTGAGGACTGCAGTGAGGTCTTGACAGCCACTGGGTGGTTGAGGATGCTCTGCTGACCATGGGTCTGCTACTGGGGCTCATGGTAGGCAGGCCTGCTAGGCTCCACCCTGCCAGTGCCCACGAGTGTCTGTGCTCTCAGGGCTCCACAGGTGCACGTGAGTGGCCAGGCCAGCGGGGCTCCACCATCTTGGCTCCCCAGTTATTATCCCTCTTACTTGCCAGGTCCTGAGTTCAGAATTTTGAGATCAGTATAGACGCTCCCATGGTCAGGTAAATATTCATCTTGTGTGATAAGGCTCCTCACATGGTCCTCGGATGCATTCGGTCTCTCGGGAGCCAGGACTCCCTGGGCTCCAGGCCCGGGCACCTCCTTCCACAGCGTCCTCTCTCTCATTTTCTGGTTTCTGTGAGCAGGGTGCCTGTAGCTCCCGCTGGGCTGGAAGTCTCCATGCTAATTTCTTTTTCAGTGTGTTTGTCTTTTTTATGTATGAAGGCCACCGTGTCTTGTAAGTTAACTTTGTGTCCTGTCACCATGATGAAAGTGTTTATCAGCTCTAAGATTTTCCTGTTGGAATTGCCAGTGCCGGGTGTGATCCGCCTGAGGTGTGGACCTTAAATCTAATGAGAAAGTCTCTGGTTGCTCCCATTCCATTCGTGCCTCCTTTCCAGGAGCGGCGTCCTGTCAGACCAGTCCTCCCTCCGTGACTCAGGGATCATGAAAGAAGAGGGGCCAGAAGGATTGTAAGAGCCAGAGGAGGTGGATGAAGATAGCAGTGTTCTCCAGACACAACAGGGCAGTTGCGCATATGAACTCAGGCAGTTGTGACAGCGTGCACAAAACCTGCACAAGCTAAAGACGGACAGAATCCCACCGTGGAGGGGAAGAGTGGGCCCGAAGCCTCACCCCCCATCCCCGACCCCCCACCCCCGCTGAGGAGCTATTGGCAATTCACAGCTCCTGGGAGAGGAAGAGTCAGTTTTCAAGAGTGACCATTGGCTGTGCTCCAGGGGATGGCCCCACATCCAAGACTGTTAGGGCAACACAAATCGGACTCCAGGGGCTTTTAAAAAGAGGATGTGAATTTGGATGGGTCGGGAGGTTGGAGTGGATCTGGGAGGAGACCGGGAAGGTGGGCTGAATATGATCAAAGGGTGTTGCATGGAATTCTCAAAGAATTAATATATTTTTTTTAAAGCCAACAATCCAAACAATGGGCTATGGAATTGAACAGAGTTCTCGAAAGAAGAAACACAAATGGCTGAAAAGCACTTTAAATCTTTATAGTGTCTCTCTCAGTCTCAGCAGAGCTCAGGGCCAGCAGTCTACTGGTCACCTGCACTGAAGGAACTGCTTTGGAAAGTCTTCCTGGACGTGGAAACTGTGAAAATCCTGAAGAATGCCGCATAACCATGACTCCATCTGTCCAGGAGCTGCTCAGAAATCTCCTCCTCCCTCGCCAGCTGCACACAGAGGGAAGGGTCTGATTTAGAAGCCTCCCTCATGCCAGGTCGTCCCCCAAGTCCACCCTGAGTGGAGGCTGCACAGAGCCAGGGGATTCCCCTCTCCCTGCCAGGCCTCTCAATACAAACTCTGCACCTGGCAACTGCGGCGTCATCGCAGTGGAGCTTTCTGATTGGCCACAGCCTGGCCGGCAGGCCTTGGTGGGTGTCAGACTTCCTTGGCTGGCCCCTCACAATCTCCAGCTCAGACAGCAGCTGCCTGGACCACCTAGGGAAGAGGATGGCCCTTGGCGTCATCGCAGTGGAGCTTTCTGATTGGCCACAGCCTGGCCGGCAGGGCTTGGTGGGTGTCAGACTTCCTTGGCTGGCCCCTCACAATCTCCAGCTCAGAAGGCAGCTGCCTGGACCACCTAGGGAAGAGGATGGCCCTGAGCAGAGCCCTGATCCTGGGGGTCCTCGCTCTGACCGCCATGCTGAGCCCCTGTGGAGGTGATGAGGACATCATGGGTGAGTTGCATGGCTGAGGGATGCTCCCTGGAGCTGGGAAATGGGAAACTGTCAGGGATAAAGAAATGGCGATTGGCTGAGCAGAGATTTCCCCAAAGTTTTTCTCTATATTAAGAAATCTAAAAATTATGGGGCTCCTTCTTCAGGAAACACTGGTTAGCTAGCCATGAGGCGTCTGCTTCTCATAATCATCCCGTGACGGCAACCCGAGGGTCTCTGTGATAGAGTCAACCTCAAAACTTCAGGATTTTTCCATGAGTAGACTGATTTTGCTAAAAATTATGAACAACTGCTCTCAAATTTCTCTGATTAATTTCTGAATCCCTGCCCACCTATCTCCTGTAGTATATCTTGAGGAAAATGATTCTGTGAATTTTTTTATGCTGCACAGGTATATGGAAAGAGGCCCCTTCCTGTGGCTCAGATTTATACACATTTCCGTGCTAGGACGTGGCACAGGTAGGGTTAGCCCAGCAGTCTGACTGCCTTCAGGTGCTCATCTTACCAGATGAGACGGTCCGTAATCTCTATTAACTCATGTGTCACCTCACAGATAATCAAATAGAATAGATGTGCATATATGTGCTCTATAAATTTTCATAAAAAATGAAAACGAAGCCAGGCTTGACAGTACATGTTTGTGATCCCAGCATTTGGGAGGTGAAGCAGGGCAATCATGAATCTAAGTACAGCCTGGGCTAGACAGTGAGACCCTGTCTCAAAAACTAGTTCATTCATTTATTCACATAAAATAAATAAATAAATAAATCTACAAAATTAGACCCCAAAATTTCTGAGAGGAAGCAGAGTTTTGTTTCACATGAAATTGTATAGGTTGTACATATTTTATAAAATATGCTTGTATGTTGACTGTGTGAAGGAGGGACCCAGCTTTAGGGATGCTCTATCCTCCAGTGCTCTCCTTTCTTACTGAAATAAGCTTATCTCTACTCTTTAAAAAAAAAGCTAAACATGTCAACTTTTTCTCACTTGAACCTCATCCAGGCATCGCTTCCTAGTTTTCTTTAACAAAATAACGGATATATTTATTTTAAAGTTGAGAACTTTATGGGGAGAAACGTGGTAAATTACTTTAAAATTATCAATTCAGCTTACCTGATCTTGAGCCTATCTAACAAAGGCCTGTTAAACCAGCATGCACAGGCACAGGATGTTCCCACAGGTCCTCTACCCATGTGGTCCACCTCTCTCCTCACTCTCCTCATACATTTCAACCATCTCCTAGGATCCACCCCTGACTCCCAGCTGCGTCTCAAGATGAACTACAGATATGTTTTTTGTTGTTGTTGTTCTTTTTTTTTCGTTTTAAAAAAGAAGCTGTTGAAGAGTCAACTATTTAAAGTAGGGAGGGAAAGAACTGAGCAGGTTAGTAAACAGTGGCTGCCCCCATTCCCACTCATTCCAGTTCTGTCTGGAGGTGGGAGTCTCAGCTGCTCCTTGGGTACTGGTTTCTTGGTTCCAAGCACTACGGAGCACAGTGGGCACAGTGCCAAAGGGCGAGGAAACTGCAGGGCCGCGTGAAGATGTTTTCATTTCTTTTGAAATAAGAAGTTTTAAGGTCTAATAAGTATTTCTAATTCGGCCTTGTCTTTATAGATAAAATGTAATTTGAGATATGCTTATGAACGAAAGGCAAGAGCACATGGCTCACAGGTTGCAACACAGCCCTGATGGCTACTGGGCCTGACTTTTCTCGTAGTTCACCTCCTGTGTCCCTGTCAGCCATTCCCAAAGTGTCTGTCATCCTTAAAGACAGAAATTGTCATTTAAGGCATTTTAACCATGAAATAAGGTGAGTGTGAGGTATTGAAAAAGGTGGAAACAGACTGAGGTACAGGAAGCAGGACCCAGATGAGGCCAAAACTATAAAAGTGACTTGGTTTCGGTTGGCAGCTGTGCGAGGTCCCCCAACAGCACTGGCAGCCCAGGACAAGCACCAGCTGACACTGCTGATTGCATGTATTCATGGCTGAAAAAGAAATTGAAGGATTTACTGCAAAGAAAGGAGATTTTGCCGGAATCCCTGATAAGTTACCAACCAAGTGGCCATAACTTCGTAGGGAGAAGAGGAACAGACAGACTGGACATTGAGCACTGGACATTGAGATGAGGGGTCAGAGATCATAATGTCATTGAAAATAAAGGAGAAACTTTCAGAATAAAGAAATCTCTGGGAAATTATTTTTTAAAAATTCATTCCAGAGAGACGAGATCTCTGAAAAACACCAAGGAACTTGAGAGGATGATGAAGTCTTGATAGGCAGGTGCTTGCACAGGATATTGGACTGTGAGCTGTCCACATCCTCATCACAGAACTCGCCACAGGGCCATTTGCTCATTACTGACCAGCCTTTCCCACTGTTCAATGAGCTCATAACAGTAGAGATCAAATCCGACTGGTGTTTTACTCCTTGCCCCCCACGATGTCTGATGTTCACTGATGCTCAGTAAGTGAGGAAGGAGGAAAAGATGAAATGGTCATAGTTTCATATGTGTGTTGGCAACAATATCCCTTCAGGTTTTGGGGTGGAGCTGCCGTGCACTGATGGCCACTCTGCTTTGATGTCAGGCACGTTCACTCTCCGCTGAGGAAAAGGACTTAAATTACCCAGAGTCTACAAGTGATGAGACAGGAATGTTGACACAGAAAAAGGGGGGTCTTTAGTAACTTTCTTTAATAAAGGGGATGAGAGCAGAAATCTAAAAACTAATAATTATCTTTTTTTTATTATTCCAGAAGAAATCAGGAGCTCTTCTCTAAGGATCACTACTGGTAACAAAACAGTGGCCTTAGACACATTATTCGTTGTATATTTATTTAATGTTCTTGTTATATTCTTTTTAAACTCTATAGGATTTAGAAAAGCCTGTTATATACTAATATTATATGTTTTTTTCGTTTTGTTAAAAAAAGTAAGGGGACAGGAGAGCTGGCTCAATGTTGCTCTTGCAGAGGACCCCAGTTCGGTTCTCAGTACCTATGTGGTGGCTCACAACAGTCTGTAACACCAATTCCAGGGGCTCTAATGCCCTCTTCTGGCATCTGAGGGCACTGCATACACACAAACCCATAAAAGTAGATTTTAAAAAGAAGAGGAGGAAGAAGAAAAAGAAAGGAAGGCAGGAAGGAAAGATTGAACAAAGGAAGGAGGGAGGGAGGGAGGGAGGAAGGGAGAGAGGGGAAGAGATAGAGAATGAATTTCCAGTGTTTTATACCCAGAACCCAGAGAAAGCCCTGTGAGTCACACTAAAGTTGAAGTAGGAAATACGTCCTGAACAGGAACTTAGGTGAGCTGGTGGGCTAACCCCCCTGTCAAGAGAGGAAATATCTAAAGAGACACTTGCACCCCTCCCTTTGGCTATCAGACTATCGGGAGAGGGAAAGAACCCCTGTGTAGGGCCCATGAGATGGCTTGGTGGGTAAACATGCTTGCTGCCACTAAAGAATGGAGACCTGAGTTTGGTGTCCAGAACTCACATAAAGGTGGAAGGGGAGAACTAATTCCACAAAGTTGTCCTCTAACCTTCACACACTACACAATGGCATGTACTCCCCCATCACTCACACAAACACAGAGAGAAAGAGAGAGAGAGAGAGAGAGAGAGAGAGAGAGAGAGAGACAGACAGACAGACAGACAAAAAAACAGGCCTATGATTCTAAAGGGAAGAGAAGTATAATAAATGTACTATTGTGTTATGAGCTGGAGAATTAATGAGATGAAACTTATGAAGCACAGGGAAGCAATTTTTTTTTTTGGTCTTTTTGAGACAGGGTCTCCCTGTAGCCCCAGCTGGCCTAGAACTCACTGTGTAGACCAGGCTGGCCTTGAACTCACAAAGATCTGCCTGCCTCTGCCTCCTGAGTGCTGGGACTAAAGGCATGCACAACTATGCCTAACAAACAAAACTTTTTTTATTTTTATTTTTTTATTTTATGTGCATGTGTGTATTGCCTGCTTGGAAGTAAGTGCACCCATGTCATGCAATGCCCCCCTCAGGGGACAGAAGAGGCTGTTGGATACCCTGGAACTGGAGTTCGGACAGTTGTTAGCTGCCATATGGGTGCTGGGATTCGAACCCAGTTCTTCTGCAAGAACAACCAGTGTTCTTAACCGCTGAGCCATCTCTCCAGCCCCTGCAAAATGATTCTTTAAGAAGAAAACTAAATACTGAAAGTATGTATCTATTCCCTCTTTCATTCAATTGCATTATTATTCTTAAGTCCCTAGGGCATCAAATACTGAACAAGACACTGAGACAGTAACAGAAATTAGCCATGTAACACTCTGCCCTCACAGAGTGGGAAGACAGACTGGACTGCAATGAGGCATCTACCAACACTAATTAGAAATTCATCTTTCTGTTACTTTGTTTAGTAAAGATTTTTCTTCCTGTTTCCCACCTTTTGTCACACATCTACCCTTCCCAGCTGACCACATCGCCTCCTATGGTGTGAACGTCTACCAGTTTTACGGATCCTCTGGCCAGTACACCCATGAATTTGATGGAGATGAGGAGTTCTATGTGGACCTGCAGAAGAAGCAGACTGTCTGGCGACTGCCTCTGTTTGCCAGATTTAGAAATTTTGACCCACAAGGTGCACTGAATAACATAGCTACAGCCAAACACAACCTGGACAACCTGATTAAACGCTCCAATTCTACGCGGGCTCCCAACAGTATGTGTTTGCCATCTTGCTTCTCCGTTTTGAATCTATCTCATTCCAAGCTTCCCTCTCTTCTTCCCTGGTGATAAACATGCTCCACTGCTCTATAAAACTCTCTCCTTTTCAGAGTCCCCAGATCCCCTTGTAGTGATTGCTGAGTTCTCATCTTCTCATTTCTTATAAATCACTTATTTCCATGTAAAACAAAGATCTTTATTCCCATGATGCAATCCTCGACTCTTTCCAGAGGTCTCCCAGACGTCCTACGGGCACAGGGCTAAAGGGGAGCCACATATAGTGGCTCCAAGCAGAAAGGGGACACAGGCTCTTTGTCCATCATGTGAGCAAATCTTGGAGGGCTCCTTCAGGATACAGTGCAGAATTTCAGGATAAAGTGGCTTATTCAAATCCAAGCTGTTTCCATTCCACAGAGGCTCCTGAGGTGACTGTGTTCCCCAAGTCTCCTGTGGAGCTGGGTGAGCCTAACACCCTCATCTGTCTTGTGGACAACATCTTTCCTCCTGTGATCAACATCACATGGTTGAGCAATGGGCACCCAGTCACGGAAGGTGTTTCTGAGACCAGCTTCCTCTCCAACCGTGACCACACCTTCCACAAGATTGCCTACCTCACCTTCCTCCCCTCTGATGACGATGTTTATGACTGCAAGGTGGAGCATTGGGGACTGGAGGAGCCGTATGTGAAACACTGGGGTATGTATGGGTTCTTTCTGGAAACTCTTGTTCACCGTCAAGTCCAGAACAGCCTATCTTTTGACTTCTAATGCCCAAACTTGTTCTCCACAAACTTGTTCTCCACTCTTAGAGTTTCTAATGGTAGACTTTATCCTCCTTTTTAAGCCCAATTGCCAAGCCTTTCAACACCAATCCCTACCCTGACCATATCTTACACACATGGACATGAACATACTCTATTCTGACCTCAAGAACTTCATTTTTGCAGAACCTGAGATTCCAGTCCCCATGTCAGAGTTGACAGAGACCGTGGTCTGTGCCCTGGGGTTGGCTGTGGGCCTCGTGGGCATCGTGGTGGGCACCATCTTCATCATTCAAGGCCTGCGCTCAGGCGGTGCCTCCAGACACTCAGGACCCTTATAAGCCACACACTGGAAGGGAAGGGAAGGTTTGTATTTGTCAGAGCTGAAATCACTGCATAGGGAGAGGGAGGAGGATGTTATTGATGCAAATGTGGCTTAAACATCGCAGGACAATCGTGAAGCAATATCAGAACAGCTCAGCCTGGAGGACTCCTTAATCTCTGCCTGTTTTGTTGCAGGTACCCGACCCTCTCCAGGACAGAGGAGTGGATGAGTCTGGTTGACCTAACATATTTTCTGGCCTAGCTCATCATGTTTCTTTTCTCCAAACGTCCTTCCCCTCACCGCTCTGTTGGACTTAAGGCTCCATACACCTTCAGAGTTCACATATCCTGTGAATTCTCTCCCTGATCTCTGATCTCCTGAGGTTTTTTTTTTTTTTTTTTTCAGATATTTTCTGCTATAGAATCTCTGCAAAAATCCACCCAGCTACTAATCTTCCAATGACTCTGATCTGATAGTTCCATGGAATCAATAAATCCCCTTTTCTGAGGTCATTATTGGACTTTTTCTTATCTTTCATCATGAGGCTTATTGGAACCCTAACTAAGAATGTGAGACCCCTATGCTTCAGGCCAACATAATCTCATTTTTAAACTATGTTTTATGCCTAGCAACATTGGATCAACCAAATATAGCCTTGTGATGTACTGATATTTTAGTCAAGGTTAGAACCTCCCACTCTTATTTTACCTATCCCGACCACTGAGGTACCTGCCTCCAATTCTGGCATCAGTATAGTGATGGGAAAGAAAAAGTATCAAAAACAGAAATAATTGTACAAAATTTAATATAGCTTTAAAAGTTATGAAAATAAACTAAAGGAAACTTTGAATTTCAAAAGTGCCAAGATTAAATTTTTTGTTATCAAAAGTCAAATTTGTTCTCAAAACTTTAGGTTTTTGAAGAATAAATGTTGATAGATGCATGATGAGAAGGTAAGAATTTTCAAGGGAAGAAAAGAAATTAAAGGCAGTTAAAAGAGCATCAGACAAAGGCAACAGTGTGGGTATCTGAAAGGTGAGCATGCTCCTACCTAAGGGTGGAGACAATGGGACCCAGCAGACATGCAGTAACCTCTCCTCCTAAGCGGAGCTGCTGCGGACACTCACAAAAATTTCCCTGTACCACAGTGGCTGCTGGAGACAGTGGAGTGAATGCAGCTCAGAACACCTCTGGGCAGAATTAGCCCACGTGGGGCTCAATGGAGCCCCCGTGCAGCCCAACATAACACTTCAATACCCTCAGCTCTGTGTCCCTCGAGAACACATGTGGTACAGTGGCATATTTATCACTGATGAATGTATTGTTAACAGAACTCTGAGGGCAACTTGATCTGAATTTGGCTTTTAGCTCTCTAAAAAGGAGACTATTCCCTCCATATATGCCATAAGTTTTTGGCCCAAATATGCTCTTAAGCAGCAAATCTTTGAGTACTTATTTCAGAAAGAAGTAGGGAAGAGTCTAGGGAAAATGTCACCTATGAGGCAGAAGGTAATTAAAAATTTAGACTAGCTGGGCGTGGTGGCGTTCACCTTTAAGCTCAGCTCTCGGGAGGCAGAGGCTGGCGGACCTCTGTGAAATAGAGGTCAGCTGGTCTACATAGTGAGTTCCAGGCCAGCCAGGATTGCATAGTGACACCCTATCTGAAAAATAAAATTTGAATATCCACACTAGTAGTAGTAAACATAAGGCTCTGAAGCAGTTTGATCATAAAAGCACATCTCAGAGAGCACAGAGGATTTTTAGGGCAGTGAAACTACTACTTGATACTACAATGACTAATAAACGTCACCAAACCCTCGGAATAAGCACCAAAAGTGAAACTGGGCAAGGTGGCGCACACCCTTAATCCTGTCGTCAGGAGGCAGAGGCAGGCAGATCTCTGTGAGATTGAGGCCAGCCTGGTCTACACAGCAAGTTCCAGGCCAGTTGGGAGTACAGAGAGACTCTGTATCAAAAAACAAACAAAACAAAAAGGGAATCATATATTGTGGACTGAAAAGTCGTAATGATTTATGGAGGCAAGTTCATTAGCTACAACAAATATACCACCCTGGCAGGTGTGGTAATAAGAGAGGCTGAATGCAGGTATGCAGTCAGGGTAATCCGAATTCTCCACACTCCCTATTTTTAAAAAAGAAAAAACATCAGCAATAATGCTGTCAGATAAATAAAACTTTGTATGGAAAAAGTATCGATCATCTAAAAATATGTAAATGTGTTGAAAAGTTTTACAATTTCCAATAAATTTCAGTTACCTGAGGCAAGAACCATGGTTCTGGGGGTGCGTGGAAGTGTCTGAGTTCTGGGGGTGCGTGGAAGTGTGTCCGAGTTCTGGGGGTGCATGGAGGTGTGTCTGAGTTCTGCTTGCGTGTGTGCACCTTTGCATGTTTTTGTGCTTACTTTTAGGCATGTGTGTTTGTGTGTGCATGTGTGCGCATGTATGTGTATGCGAGTATGTAGGAGTGTGTGTGTGTGCATGTGTAACATGAGGATTATATTGAAGGGATTTATGATCTTACTCTTAGAGAAATAGACAAACATTGCCCTATTCAGATTCTTTCCACACGACGTACTATGAAAAGAAAAATTTGGTGGTTCCTGGGACATCTAGGCCGAATAGTGACACAATAAACATTAATGTGCAAGGATCTCAGTGGTATCTAGACTTGAGTCCTTCAGATATATACCTAGAAATGGTGTGGCTGGGTCACGTGAAAATTCTGTTTTTAATTTTTGAGGACCTCCATGCTGATTTCTGTAACAGGCAGTTTATATTCTCACCAACCGTGTATCCCGCGTCCTTGCCAACAGTTGCTCTCTGCTTTCTCAATGACAGCCATTCTGACTTGGGCGAGACAGAATCTTAACCTAGTTTTAATTTTCATTTCCTGGATTGCTTGCATATTGAACATTTGTTCATCTGTTTATTAGGCATCTACACTTCTTCTTTTGAGAACCTCCTGCTCATTTCGAATACGTCAGATGAGAACAAATATCCCATTTTCTTGCACTTGTGAATCTTAGAATTCTTTGTGGAGTTGTGAAACCATTCATCATTAGATATTAATGAAAGCAGAAAAGACTGGAGGATGGAGAAAGCAGGAGGAGGATGGCTTCTAAAAGGGGAGAAGACGGAATGAATGCGGTCAAACTACAAATGTTATACAGGGAAGAAAGTATTTATATGAAACTCTACAGTATGTAAAATGACTGTGTACCAAGAAAAATGAAGAAAAAGGTATAATGAACACATTGACCAAATGATAGACTTTGTTTGGATTTATTTTCAGATAAAACAAATGTTAAAAATTATTATTAAATTAAGGGTTGGAGAGATGGCTCAGCAATTAAGACAACTGACTGCCTTTGCAGACGGCCAGAATTCCCAGGAACCACTTAGTAGCTCACAATTGTCTGTAACTCTAGCTCCAAGGGATCTGGTGCCCTCTTCTAGCCTCCACAGGCACCTGTGCACACACACACACACACACACACACACACACACACAAACACACACACACATGGTATACACACACAGACACACACACACAGACACACAAATTTAAAAAACCTTGTTAGAGCTTTGATAGACATTCTTGAAGAATACGACAGAGACAGGAGAAGAAGAAACATGAGGTGAGAGAAGAGATGTAGAAAATACAGATGCAAAGAGGAACAGAGAGACAGACGATGGCAAGCAGACAAGGAAAACTAGACGAGGACTGATTCCATGCAAGAGGCGGAGAGAAAGATGCAGGTAGAGATGCAGCAGAATGAGGTGACAGAGAGCTCATTAAACGTCTAGTCACTTCTATTGGGCTGGAGGGACGGCTCAGCAGTTAAGAGCACAGGCTGCTCATGCAGAGGACCAGAGTGTGATTCCCAGCACCCATAGCTAACAACTGTCCATAACTCCAGTTCCAGGGGATCTGCGCCCTCTTCTGACCTCCGTGGACATTACATGGACATTACATTCATACACATAAAATAAAAATAATTGGGGCTGGAGAGATGACTTAGCAGTTAAGAGCACCAGCTGCTCTTGCAGAAGACCTAAGTTTGATTCCCAGCACCCACATGGCAGCTAACAACCATCCATAACACCAGTTCCAGGGGAATCACATCTTCTTCTGACCTCTGCAGGCACTGCATGACAGAGGTGCACTTATACACATGCAGGCAATGCACTCATACACTAAAATAAAAATAATAAAATATTAAAATAAACAAAAATAAAATATTTTTAAAAATCTAGTCACTTCTAAAATCAACTTGGTCCCAGGCTTCCTTGTAACATGGACAAAATAAGCCTGAGTTGAGTTTTTATCATTTGGAACCACAAAGAGTATGGTTATTGCTGGCTACAGTTTCTCAATAATAAAAACTGACTTCAGTCAACATGACTCAACAGAATTACTTGCCATATAAGTGGCCAGTCGTCACTGTGTCTGCCCTCAACGATCTCACCATGTTCAATTGCACTCAATCCAACCTGGAAGAGGCTGGGGTGGTCTGAGAACACTCTACTGAACAGCAAGACTAAGAACCATGAAGGACTGACAGCTGATGCAGCCCCTTGACACCCCTTTTATGGAGCCCACCTCCTTTCTAGCAGCACCCCCTCTTTCTGGCCACAGCTTGGTTGGGTCAGCTCAAGACAGGCTCAGCTAGGAGGCTCAGGATACAGACAACTCAGAACTGTGTTTAATTATGAAAAACCAAGAGCTCTACAGACAGGTGGGTGCTTTTGATGCATCTCTTGAGCAGTCTGGAGGGGACACTGGAGCCAGTGAGGGGCTGGGGTCTCAGTAGCTGCTGCTTCAGTGCGAGCCAAGAGTCACAGCCAGAGCACTGGGAAGGAGGGTCGCAGGAGCCGAGCTGGTGGCTGCAGTGGGGACACAGCAGGACTCTGGCCTCAGAGCGGGACAGGCAGATGCAGACTGTTAACGCTGGGCAGGGACAGGCAGGTCTTAGAGTAGAATGACAGCCAATTCGGTCAAAAGACTCTCAGGAGTCAATGTAGGAGGCCTGTAGGAGGCAAGGTCAAGACAAAGTACACCAAGAGATCCCTGCGTCCCTCCCTTCGGTCCCTTACAGCATCAGATAGAGAAAGCTGAGGTTTAGGAAATACCATCATTATCTTCTCCCCTATCTATGTGAAGGCAAAACTAACTAAAAACACAGACTTTACCTGAATGCAGGTATGTGGGAGATGGGAGATCAGTCACCACCTTCCCAAGAAACATGAAGGGTTAGGTCTTTAGAGTAGGTTGGATGGCAATTAACTTTTCCTCCACTATCAGCCTCCCTCAGTCACTGTCAGTGCCCACACACTGTCGACTCCAAATGTGGCACGAAGCAGACATTTGGTGTCTAACACCCAGGACATAGCTCTGGCTCCAAGTTTCACAAAAAGATGCCACCAAATTATAATGGACCCTAGCAACCTTATTTGAGCCCCACACAGGCCTCAGGCTCTCCTCTCTCACCTTCATGGCCCTGTCCCCTACAGGGTCAGGGCTGAAATGTTACCTGCTGGTGGAGGTCCACGAGTTCCTACAAAAGGAAGGTGCACAGAGAAAAATCTTGTTATACAAACAGTGACTCTCATGCCTCAAAGGGAAATGAATACTCAACTTAGTTGAGGAGTTGTTCTGTCTCCACCCATATTCTCCAGTGTCCTACACACCCTAAGCTAAAATCTCCCAAAGTGGATGAGACTGACACTGCAGGGAAGGGAAGCCAAGGCTCAGAGTCTCTCAGTGGAGAAGCTTCTGGAAAGGAGCTGGTGAGACAGCAGTGAACAGAGAGGAAAGTCCCAGAATGAGCTCGGCCATCGGTTCTGTGGCTTGGCTACCTTTCAAACAGTGAAGTCAGAGTCCCGTGTCTTGCCCTACATTTTATCTTCTCCCACCAACCATCCAACTTCCTTCCTTTAGGGTCAGGAACAAGAGTTCCTCTAGAGGCAGAGCGTCATCCCCATTTCCCCAGAGCTCCTCACCTTTCTGACTCCTGTGACGGATGTAAACACCCAGTCCCAGGAAGATCAGCCCCAGCACAAGGCCCCCGATGCCACTCAGCATCTTGCTCTGTGCAGATTCAGATTGTGCCCCTGGGGAGCAGAGCCTGGTGTCAACATTTGTCTCCACTCCCCACAATATCCCTGGCTGAGAACCTGAAGGCCAGCCCGAGCTTCATGAGGTGGAGGAGTCAGGAGACCTAGTTCTCTCTTCTAACCTTAGACAGGGGTAGGAAGGGCCAGCTGGAGATCTAGAACACCGGGTAGGTGAAGGAGAGGAGCTAAGCCAGTTCCTTATAGACACAATCATAAGGGTAGGTCCTAAAACCCAGCCACAGGTCATATTAACTGATTCCTTGGGGGCCACAGTGCATACAATAGTCTCTATCTAGAAAGACAGGTCAGGAGTCTTCTGATGCCTTTGACATAGAATAAGAGGAACTATCCTCCTGTGATTACCAACTTGGTAGTGGAATCCAAGGCAGGTGCTGGGAAGGGATGGGTCAGTGGGAGCTCTGCCCTGTCTGTGGGCCCTACAGCCAAAGAAGCAAGTTTCCCTTACTCCACTCCACTGTAGTGGGACTCTGCTGACTGGCGTGCTCCACGTGGCAAACATAGACATCTCCACGCTGAGGTGTCATCTCCAGCATCACCAGGATCTGGAAGGTCCAGTCCCCATTCTTAATAAGCTGTGTGGACACGACTCCTGTTGTCTGCTCCTGGTCATTCCGGAACCACCGCACTTTGATCTGGCCTGGGTAGAAATCTGTCACCGAACAGACCAGAAGGTTGTGGTGGTTGAGAGCCTCTGTCTTCGACAAAGAGATGGTCACCTTGGGCTGCTCTGGGGAACAGACAGGAAAAGACAGTGTGAGTGAGATGTGATGCACGGGGCATCTCCCCTCGGGGAGGGGCAGGGTAGGAATCCCTGGATTCCAGTATTGAACTAAGATCCATTCCACAAATATAAATTTGACAGTCACTGAAAATACAAATTAACCACCAGTCCATGACCCTACTTATAGAACTGACAATTTGGTAACAAACAAAAAATGTAAGCTCAAAGATTTAATTTTTTAAGGTAGGGGAGTCTTAAAAATAATACACATATGTAGAACAGGCTGGCCTTGAACTCACAGAGACCCGCCTACCTCTGCCTGGGGCTACAAGGGAGACCTTGTCTCAAAAAGATAAAATAATAATAATAATAATAATAATAATAATAATGCACATAAAGCACCAGGTTTCCTGTCTTCTCAGGTCACTACTCACAG